CACATATCTACGTCACGATGTGGGAAGATTTGCATAACGCCGCCCAAATGTTCACGCAAAGAAAGAAGGTGTAACTTTTATTCTCGCTGTAGTATTGTTGCCGCCGCCATGCACTGTGCTTCATTGTGAAAGCAAAACTACTTAAGGCCCCGCATAAACACATTTCATTACACCAAATACACAAAATAATGTTTTTTTTAGCAACATCATATGACCGCTTTAATAATTTAATGGATTTAAACATCGGGTTTAATCATGCTGAAACGTCACAAGGCCGTTGGTGCCCTCTGCAGGTATTTGTTATAATACATAAAATGTAGTTAAAGGGTTAGTTCACCCGAAAATGAAAATTAGGCTGCTTTTTACTCACCCCCGATGCATCCTAGGTGTATATGACTTTCTTCTTTCAGACGAATCCAGTCGGAGTTATATTAAAAATGGTCTTTGATCTTTCAAGCTCTATCGTTGCACTCAGCGGGTGTTGCAGTGCTTCGGTTCAAAAGACCTGAAATAAAAAGCACCTTTCCATAAAAAAAAGTGTCTCACACGGCTCCGGGGGGTGAACAAAGCCTCCTGTAGCGAATCGATGCGTTTTTGTACGAAAATTATCCATATTCAAAACGTAATAATCACTTGAATCTAGCTTGCGCCAGCAGTTGTACACAGAAGCAGTTCCGGGAGCATGACGTATGAGTTCAGCGTTGCGCAAAAACCAACGTTTGTCTACAGGATCAAAAGAAGCAAAGTTTCCTTACTTTAGCAAAGGAAAACAAGTCTCCTCTTGGCTTATATCGAAATCCTCCGACATTCTTCTTTACAAATCCTCGTTTTGTACTTCTAATTAGTGACCGTTGTTTTGTTTCGATCTCTCCGCGTGCCAGAACTAAATGTACAGTACTAAAGTACTGGGACGATTTTGCTCGAACTATTTCCCAGTACCATTTAAAGGGTTGCATTCGCACGGACTGTGTACGTAAGACTGTCGACACACAGTGACGTCATTTGTGCGTGGCGTTCAACAACAGAAACAAAGAACAACGTTAACAACAGGAGGGAAAATTTCGTAACAATAGTATTAAAATATTGTCACGTTCTAGTGAACCAAATATCGGTATTTTGTCTCCTCTTGTGAGCTAAGTGCATTGTCACACCCCTAGTGTCGATAAGCGGTGATATAGCTCATAATTTTCCAAGTGTATGATGCAGCTTTCATTCTTCAGGTCAACCATATATATTCATGAAAAAAAAATCAGTTTGAATAAGGAAAGCAATAACTTTGCCATAGTATCCTTTCAAATGTTAAAGCTGCCACAGTCATGTGCTGCAAACACCCCCCATTCCCTATTTTGACTGAGATTTGCGTGATCAAGCACCTCTCTATAGAGAAAAAAAGGTCTTGCAGTGCTTATTTATTATTTCAGTGTTTCTGTGTGTTTGAGCGTACGTGATCAGCTTCACGTCTGATGAGATTATCATCAAATGCTTGCGCTAAAACAAGCCTTATTCTGAGCTGATTGTGAGCTTGTGTTTGGGTGTGTCTCTCTGGAGATCTCCAGATATCTCTGCTTTCCTGCCCTGCCTCTTCCTCTCACAGTAATACAGGATGACACTGAGCTTCCTCACACACACACACACACACACACACACACACATCCAGTCGGTCAGGAGAAGGTCAGAAAGTCCTCAGAACAATGCTGGTATTGAGGAGGAGAAACACATCAAACCGATGATTATAGATGTGCTGATTGTATAGCTCAGAGGAAACTCTCAGTGCTCAGAAGATGCTCTGTTTTTGCTCAGGAGACTTCCATTTCAGTGTCACCTTTGTCTCAGATATTTGTCTTAGAATTTCTATTAATAGAAAAACACAAGTAATTCAATAATTGCCATACAGTATGAGTACAAACAGGGGGTTTTAATATTTTAGTTGCCAAAGAACTGCAAATATGATGATCCTCGTGCAAGAGACCCCCATCCTACAGTTTAAACAAGGCTGCTATATATTTTCATGAATAAGGACCCAATTTATACTGGGAAAAATGCATATTATAAATATGTATAAAATATTATTTGGTATTAATTTTTAAGTGTATTTTTATTTTTCATTATTAGTTTAATTTATTGTAATGTATTTGTCATATTTGATAAGACAGTGAAAATACAGTTATATGAGAGTTACAGATAACTACATTGCCTGCAATTCATTAAACCCATAGAATATAATGATGTTATGACAAATATGAGAAATTCGTTATGGAGGTATCTTTGTTATCCACAATTTAATTATTCAGGGAATAGTGCATCTGACCCGATCTAAATAGTTCTGTCTTAAATCAGAATATGTTAGAGTATTTTCTTTTTTTTTTTTTGCGCAAAAGGGATGGCTCTTCACACAGTATTATATTTTCTAAAGGAACATTTTATCGCAGATTTTTCCATGAATGCATTATACTGAACTAACTGACCATCTTCATCTATCAAATCGACAACATAAAGAACTTTTCTCTCAAACCTTTCTTGTTTAAATAGCATCTTCCTATTTATTTTAATAATTCTATTGTTTCACAAGATGGCTTAATGTGGTGTAAAGTTGTGGGTAAATATCATTTTCCAGTATTGCAATATCTGTTTGTGGACATTTGAAAGCTTATCAGGCAATATATATGAAACCAAACTGAATTAGGCTGTGTTAAATAAGATTTAATCCAGTTCAATGATCAGGCAAGTTTAAGATATGATGGTGGTCCGACAGTGAGCCTGCAGTGGTGGTCCGATATCTGGAAATCTGATCTTACTATCTGGTCTTTTGTTTACAGTTTGGTCCCCCTGACTTTGAAAATGTCTCCTGTGCCCCTGCTGCCAACAATTTAAGGCAGCAGTGACCGTGCACGGCTGCAGATCAGCCCGCAGTTTTCTGAGGATAAAGATTTCTGGGAAATACAGAAGAATATAAACAAGAAGTCGAGGTTTAGCAAAGTACCTAACGTGATTGGCTCTGCTCATTCCAGTTGACTTTCATCATTTTGAATCTAACGCGGATGAAAGCGAGGCTGTGAGGGGCTATACAAGCGCTGTAGAAAGATCACGTAATTTTCACAACTTTCAAAACTGTTTATGGAGTTTTGTCTACTGAAAGTTTAACGCTGAACGATCAGCATGTTGTCAATCCATCAAACGCGCTGTACTTCAGCTCCAGCCTCGTTTTCATTCCCGCCAAAATTAAACATGGCGCTGCCCTGACAAAAATCTCTGAACACAGTTGCATGTTTATTTTTTATTTGTTTCCTATGGTTAGTTTTTATCGTATTAGCTGCACAGTAACTTCTGTTCAGTAATGGCATTAACAAGACAAGCGCTTTTTCTATGATCCCGCTGAGTTCGTGACGCTCAGCGTGTCGTTTAACCGTTGAATCCGATCTCCTCGTAGCGGCCATCGATGATGCTGATGAGGTGGTTCATGACTCTCTCGAGTGCGCCCTGTTTGGCCGCGTCCAGACGCGCTTTCTCCACCATCACTTCCACCAGCACCTTAGTGATCAGCTGTCGACACACACACACACACACGACCAGAGGTGGACAATCCAGGGGTCAGAAAGTAAAAGTCCTGCCATATGTTTATTCCACCCATGAACTCAGCAGCTGGTTTCACCAGAGGAGGAACCAAGTCATTCCTTTCAAATCACAAATCACACATTAAAGTTAATGAGATAATTAAGTGACTAATTAAATGATGACTGTGCATTAGTGACGAACACCTGCTGTTATTGAGAATTACAGCGGATCAGATGCTGATGTTTTATTGGTTAAAATGATGTCACCATCATGGAGATCAGTGTTTGCTTTAGTCGGGCTTTTGACCCTTTTAATATTTCAAATTTGTTTGCTTTTAAGCAATTGCAATATTGCTTCTCAACAAACATTTGTGCATCTACACATTGCTGAATTAAAAGCTTGAGACAACAGATGAGCTTATGCTTTCTGCTTTTAAATCACTTGAATGAACATCATGAAGGTGTCTCTTTTTTTCTTGTTTTTGTTTATTTATATAGCACCATTTAAAACACAGCCAAGGTTGAACCAAAGTGCTTTACATGAAAGGTACAAGAATGAAAACAAACATCGACAACATAAAACACCACATTGGCATATAAAATACCACCTCAATCATTGTATGCTACCAACATTAGATGTGCTTTCAACAGTTTCTTAAAAATTGACAGTGATTTGGCAGACCTGATCGGCAGGGGCAACTCATTCCAAAGTCTTGGCCCTATCACAGCGAAGGCCCGATCGCCTTTATATAGGCGATTTGTTCTAGGCACTACAAGTAATTTTTGATTCTCTGATCGTACGCATCTAATACATTTTTTGTGGAGTTATTTGGGTGGCTAAAACCAATGACCTCTGTTTTTTCCTCATTTAGCATTAAAAAAATTTTCGACAACCAATTTTTTATGTCCTTTAAACACTCTAGAAATTACTCAAATTAATTTGTGGAATGTCTGATCGGTAGATACATTTGCGTGTCGACGGCATAACAATGAAATGATACACCATACTTTCTAAAAATGCTGCCCAGAGGGAGCAAGTATAGAGAAAAAAGTATAGGAGAAAGGATAGAGCCTTGCGGAACCCCCCAAGGAAGATGTTTTTTACCAGAGATTTTATTATTATAATTAACTGAAAAACATCTATTGCTCAAATAGGACTGAAACCATGTCAGGACTGTACCCTTTAGCCCTACTAAATGTTCAAGACGGGAGATGAGGATGTTATGGTCGATCATGTCAAAAGCTGCACTCAAATCAAGCAACACCAAAACAACATCATCTCCTTTGTCTAAGGCCAGGAAAATATAACTTAACACTTTCAATAATGCTGTCTCAGTGCTGTGGGCTGTTTTGAACCCCGATTGAATCCTTTCTCCTGTAGAATTTTCGCTTAGAAATGAAAGTAGTTGTTGCAATACAACTTTGTCTAAGATTTTTGAGGCAAAGCACAGCTGAGAGATTGGTCTATAATTCTGCATTTCGTCCTGAGCTATATTTGGTCGTTTTAGCTGAGGTGTCACCACAGCATGTTTAAACTCTAGTGGACATATTCCACTAGACAAACTTTTGTTGATCAGATGTGCTAAACTCAGTGATATGCAATCAAAGGTCTGCTTTAACAAATGACTAGGTATGAAATCATTTGCACAGAATGTAGGTTTCATTTTTTGCACAATATCCTGCAGCATAGTCGACATAATAGGCTCAAAAACCCTCAATTCAGCAATGCAAGCAGGATAGTCAGATGGATCCGTTTTCACCAGAGGAATCTGAGCACGTTGATCAGCAATCCTTTGGCTAAAAAAAATGTAAAAAGTCCTCACAGGAAATAACTGAGGACTTTTAATACACATTACTCAAAGGTTGAATTACAGAATTAATAATAGAAAATGTCACTCACTCACTTAAAATGCTGTAGAGATGTTTCCAGCATAGATATATTACATTTTGTTTTGAACAGTGCAGAAAATTCAACATTGGAGGTACTACTTAGTCTCCTTGACCAACACAAAGAGTCTTCTAGATAAACAGGTTGAATAGCAATAAAAGTCTTAAAAAGGATTGGCATATGATCTGAGAAATTAGTTTCACAAACAGTTACATCATCAACTTGTAAATTATGGGTTAAAATCAGATCTAACATATGGCCTAATTTGTGGTTGGGGCTTTTTACCCATTGCTGCAAATCGAATGACTCAATCAAATTTATAAATTCACTTGAAAGCATGTCATTGCCACAACAAATATGGACATTAAAATCACCCAATATTAAAAAGCGATCATATTTTGTGTACATTTCACTCAAAATATCGGAAAATTCCTGAACAAAAACTCTATTTGGTTTCGGAGGCCAATACACTAAAGCGACTGTAATAGGGTTTGTAGCTGCGATTTGAAACCGTTGCAGTTCAAAACTCTGCGGTGGTTCAACCAAGAGTAGCTGGCATTGAAGGTTTTTTTGTATATAGTCATTAGTCCTCCCCTGCGACCCGACGGGCGAGGTCTAAAGCAAAACACTGATCTCCATGATGGTGGCATAATTTTAACCAATAAAACATCAGCATCTGATCCTCTGTAATTCTAAAAAAAATAACAGCAGGGCTGCGTTCAGCCTCGACAAAACGGTGCAAAACGTTTTTTTAAACGAAAACGGTGGTGCGTTGAACACACTGTTCTGATGACGCAAGAGTTGCAACTATGGCAGCTGAGAAGGCCATTCTTTGTGTTCTTTTTGAAGAATTTTCGGAGCCTGATGAAATCGGTATAAATACGCGTTTAATACTGCAAAATACGCTCGATGTTACAGTCACTGCCCTTGCCCTCCAGAATAAAAGAGAATGTCCCAATCGAGTGAAGGGATTTGTGCGAACTTTGGTTCCTATTTATTGTGATACAACATTTGCCTCGTATTTCAGGATGAAAAGACAAACATTTCAGGTGAAGAATAATCCACTTCTTACCTCCGAGACTGTGTTATGATCTATATGGCCTTATTATATTTATTGTGAGTATTAGGCTTATCATTACTGCTGATCACTGTTGTTGCGCTATGATATTGTAATATTTACCATTATATAATCAGAGGGGTATAGAAAAGTTTTTGAAAGTGTCACTCCAAAATACTATAGCAAAATAAATATGTATAGTATTTTTATGTTACATTAATCAGTGTCGAGCACACCGTCCTAAGGAAAGGATATGGACCAGACGACATTGCAATTACTAAATGATATTTAGACAGACTTAAAGAAGTTCCAGATCTATACTTGTGCTCTTATTATTTAAGTTATTTTGCCTTTAATGTAAATAAACGTGCAAACAATATACTTGCTCTTGTGAATTTATTTTGATGTTAATTACATTGTGCCAGCTGTCTTTTTAATACGGTTTATATACATGTTGCTGCTGATTGGGCTGACATTTTTGACACACCCACCAAACAAGAGAAAACGTATCTCAAACCCCGTTGCACACTGTTACACAGCGTTTCAAGGAAACATGTCATTCAAACCGGAAACCGTAGCAAAACGTTGTGCACCGGTTTGAGTTTGAACTTGCCCCTGGTGTTCATCACTAATGCACAATCATCATTTAATTAGTCACTTAATTATCTCATTAAATTTAACTCTTTGAGGACTTGGGATATGACTCGAGACTCGTTTGTGATTTGAAAGGAATAGGCTTGTTTGAGATGAGTAAAATCTGCGCAGAACTGATCACCGGTGATCATCACGAGATGCATGCCGGTTAGAAAAGTGTCCGAGTTACATCCAACTTGCTCTGATGTCATGCTGACGTGTGCCAAAAAGCTCTCGCGACGGCGAGGCGGCTGTGTCGGATTGTGCAGTCGAGCGCAGTTGCTCTCCACCGACTGTGCTGCTCAAAAGCATGATGGGAAACGACTGACTGACGGCACAGATTAATGCTCATTGGTTCAGACAACCGTGATGTTGCGGTCTCTTCTAAAATGTTTTATTTCTTTATCTGATTTCATGTGATTTATGTATTTAAATTATGCATGAATATTCTCAAACACTATGACAGTGCGATCTCTGTGTGAGATATGTGATCGTTGTCATGTTTCTATAAAAATCTAAAATACATGTTTGTATTAAAGTAAAAATAAATGATAAATACGCCTTTCCTATGAAATTAAATAGCAAGCACTTTGAGTGTCTTGTTCATCAAATTTATTTTCATATAAAGCAACACAACTGAAATTATATCATGTTTATCAGCAGCACAGCACACGTGTGAGAATAACGCGATATCTGTCTTTGATCTCGTTGGTATCTGTTCCACTTCGAGAGGGCAGAACTGTTCATCTGGCCTGTGCTTATTTCACTCCTCCCTTCACTGCAGCCACCTACTCTCGCCTACATTTCAGGCGAGGCGAGGCGCATCTCAAACAAGCCTAATGACTTGGTTCCTCCTCTGGTGAAATCAGCTGCTGAGTTCATGGGTGGAATAAACATATGGCAGGACTTTTACTTTCTGACCCCTGGATTGTCCACCTCTGCACACGACTGACTGTTAATGTGCGGAAGTCCGAGTGTATCTAAGAATACCTGAAATCTGTCAGCGTGCAGATGAAAGGAAGAGGCCTAATGAGTTTCCTCTACTGGCAACAATTTAAGGCAGTATGATTTTATCCAAAACTGATGTGTGTTGTGAATTTTTAGTATCATGTTGCTAGCTTGATAACATGCTAATGTCAAAAGTGAAATCTGCTATTTTAATTCTAGTACTATAATTTTTTTATAGAAATAATGTAAAGTATTTCTCAAAAACCTTTTTGCAATGAAATATAACTGTTTACTTTTAAGTTAAATTTTCACTTTTAACTAGCTGTCCATATATATTATACAATTCTTTAATGATTTAATACTTTTTATTAGTTTATTGTGTATTTTATTATGTATTTGCCTTCCTCAAAAACATTTTGCTGCGAAATGTAATTTTGTCAATTTTTTTGCAACAAATACTACTTTTTACTTGTAAGTAAAATTTCCAGTTTTATTCTTCATATTTTATATTATATATGTTTTATCATTTATTATTTATATTTAATAAAATAATATTTTTATTATTGAAATATAATATAAGCTAAAGCATTCAAAATCAGTCACTTATGAGGTGAGTTCCCAGATAGCAACATAGTGTCCAGCCCACATCTGGCACATGTGGAATGATGATCTGGCCACATGTAGCGTGGAATGATGGCACTTGGGCGGACCGCTCAAACATTAGATTTAAACCCCTGTTAATTCTCAATAAGAACTTCTGTAGACCTCTAACAGAAATAAAGTCAGTCTGGTTAGCAATAAGTGAAGCTGGTGATGCTTTTTGTGGAGTTGTTTAATTCTCATCTGCTGAGATCTTCAGAGATTTAATGTCTTTTATCTTCAGTTGATTTCATCTAAGGCTGTGGCTGCAGTCAGTTGTAGTTCTTGAGTTTCTGTTTGTCTGTCTTTTTTTCTGTTCTTCTGTTCTTCAGTGATTTTGCTTGTTAACAAGCCTAGACAAGCTGAGAGGACTCTATAAGTAATATATAAAGATTTTGTGGCTCAGATAAGGTTCAGTGTGGTTTATTTCTTTGCTCTTGGCTGACATGTGTCATTGCTATGTCCTGCTTTTGGCCCAGATCTGGCAAACGGGAGCGGTCCGCCCAAGTGCCATCATTCCACGCTACATGTGGGCCAGATCATCATTCCACATGTGCCAGATGTGGGCCGGACCTGGGCCAACACTATGTTGCTATCTGGGTTATAATATAACAGTAATACTATTTTTACTTTTTACATTTTTTTATGTAAAAGTTCAATGTCAATGTTCAATGCACATTCTACTATTAAGTATAATGTATTATTTATATCTAGTATTATCTAATTATAAATTGTAAATGTTTATTATTTATATATAAATAATGTAAACGTTCAAAACCAGTCACTTGAGGCACTAGGTCAGTTAGGATGCTGTCTATGTAGGCAGTGAGTCAGTTCACTAGGTTTTGGAACAGAGGCCGTAATCGAATGTTCCTGTGAATGTGTCTGTGAATGAAAGTGTGGTTGGTTACCTTGAAGCTGCCGAGGTCAATCTTGTGCGTGTTGGCTTGTGAGGTGTCCAACAGTTCGCGGATTTTAGTGCGATCTCCTTTGGCCTCCAGCAGCTCTCCCAGCTTCTTCAGCACGATCGCGCCCTGGGCCCCCACCACCGCGTTTCCCTCCAGATCAGATGTAGGGATGTCCTTGAATTTCGGGAACAATTTCTTAGTTTGCGGATACTTCTGAAACAAACTGAAGAGAGAGAAAACATCAGGCAGACCACATTCACATTAATCATGATTGAGTCGGGAACTGACCGGGTCAGAACTTTTCCTCCGTAACCCGCGTAGTCGGCCTTGACATTTTTCCAGCAATCCAGAACCACGTTGTAATCGGCCATGATCCGGTTGTGATCGGTCATCATCTGCGTGAGAAGACAAACCAAAAAACACACACCTGTCATAGATATCCAGTCAAAATTCTTCTGTGAACATTTCAGGCGTTTGGAATTGCTTTTGCATCATTAAACAAGGCGTTTATGGGCGACGTGCTTCAGTATGTGCCAGTCAGATTAGCACCACATGGCCTTCGCTTGACTCATGACCGGTAATAAGCCACTTTCAGCTGTAAAGCCACTTTAAAACCATATGCATTGAATAAATGCAACTCATATGACCAGTTTATGTCAGGCAGGAGAGCCTATTGACTTGCATTATTTTTTAATTTTGTTATATATTAGCCAAATTAGTACCAATGGTCCCATAAATATATCTTAAAATAGATTATTTTTAATAGACATTCAGGTTTGTTTGCATTTTGTTTGGCTGATTGTTTGCATTCATCAAAATAATGATGATTTGGTTATAATCTCTTGCCAATTGGACATGAATAGTTTAACTTATTTTGAGTATATTGAAAGTCTTGTTCAGTGGTTTGATGATAGTCACTTACAATTGAACATTGAGAAGACAAAGGAACTATGCTGTGGGAACAAAAATAGGATCGGTACTGCTGGCGTATCATATGAACAAATTACTATAAAAGGTGTAAAGGTAGAGCAAGTTTCAAATTTTAAATATTTAGGTACAATCATTGATGACAAACTCTCATTCCAGGAAAATGTGGACCATATACACAAGAAGGCAAGACAGTGTTTAGGTCTACTCAGGAAACTAAGAAATTTTAGCATCGATAGGAGGGTCCTAACCATTGTTTGGTAACATAATATTGTATCATGGTATAGAAATTTAACAATGAGACAGAAAAATAAATTAACACGAGTAATTAATGAAGTAAATAGGATAATCGGCCAGAAACAGAGTACAATGCAAGAGCTGTTTTTACACTTTATGGAAAAAAAGGCGACAGCAGTATATTCAGACCAAACTCATCCACTTCATTCCTGCTTCCTTCAGGGCGCAGGCTGCGTATACCGCTGGCTAAAAATAACCTATATAAAAGATCATTTGAACCATTGGCGGTGACTGTTTTAAACCAAATTCTTAATTGAGGTATTATCATGAGGTATCTTTCTGGGTAGGTGTGTATCTTTCTGGTGTGTACACATGTGTATGCATATGTGTGGGCATACATATATATTGTATTGTATTCATTTTTCATTTTATTTTATTTTTTTGTTGTGTGATATGTGAATGTATAGTATTATCTGTTAGGATGTATTTTCTATGCCAGTGTCAAAGATGAATTTCTGTTCAGGCAATCTGGACAGACAATAACGTTAAACTAAACTAAAACCAAACTAATGTAGCATCTAATATAATTACTCATTTATCTCTGACGTGAAACCCTGCACTAATGGTCACTAAAGTGCAGTGTGTTGCAGTATTTTCAGTTTGAGGCTCCAGTGATGTGGAAACACTTGAGTGACCTTGAGGACTTCCAGTTTCACTTAAAGGGGTCATATGATGCTTTTTTAAAGATCATTATTTGGTGTATTTGGTGTAACAGAATATGTTGACA